CTAAAGATATATATCAAATATAATAGATTTGGACGTAGATTTCGCAAATTTTTATATGTAAGTTTTCCAAAAAAATGAAAAAATGAAAATGAAAATATCTACAAAATATCAAAACGATTGTTTATTTATAAAATTTATTTATAATTTTATTTTTGAGTTTTTTTTTTATGTTTTTTGCTAAAGATATATATCAAATATAATAGATTTGAACGTAGATTTCGCAAATTTTTATATGTAAGTTTTCCAAAAAAATGAAAAAATGAAAATGAAAATATCTACAAAATATCAAAACGATTGTTTATTTATAAAATTTATTTATAATTTTATTTTTTCATAATTTTAATTTTCATAATTTTAATTTTCATAATTCATAATTTTATTTTTGATTTTTTTTTTTTTTTTTTTTTTTGTTTTTGCTAAAGATACATATCAAACATAATAGATTTGAACGTAGATTTCTCAAATTTTTATATGTAAGTTTTCCAAAAAAAAAAAAAAAAATGAAAAAATGAAAATGAAAATATTCACAAAATATCAAAACTATTGTTTATTTATAAAATTTATTTATAATTTTATTTTTTCATAATTTTAATTTTCATAATTTTAATTTTCATAATTCATAATTTTATTTTTGAGTTTTTTTTGGTTTTTTTTTGTTTTTTGCTAAAGATATATATCAAATATAATAGATTTGAACGTAGATTTCGCAAATTTTTATATGTAAGTTTTCCAAAAAAATGAAAAAATGAAAAAATGAAAATGAAAATATCTACAAAATATCAAAACGATTGTTTATTTATAAAATTTATTTATAATTTTATTTTTGAGTTTTTTTTTGTTTTTGCTAAAGATACATATCAAATATAATAGATTTGAAGTATTTGTTACAAACTTTTCGTATTTTATTATTTCCATTTCATATAATGAGTTAAAAATTTATTTTAAGAATATTACTCTCCTAAAACTATATATAACATTTATAATAGTATTATTTACAAAAAAAAAAAAAAAAACGATAATTGTTATTTTGACTAATAATAAAACAGTGAAAATTTTATTTAAATGAAAATATCATCAATATACTAACAAATATTTTTAATAAGAAATTTTTAAATAATTCTTCATCAACATTTATAATAATATCATTTACAAAAAAAAAAAAAAACGATAATTGTTATTTTGATTAATAATAAACAGTGAAAATTTTATTTAAATGAAAATATCATCAATATACTAACAAATATTTTTAATAAGAAATTTTTAAATAATTTTTCATCAACATTTATAATAATATCATTTACAAAAAAAAAAAAAAAAAAACGATATTTGTTATTTTGACTAATAATAAACAGTGAAAATTTTATTTAAATGAAAATATCATCAATATACTAACAAAATATATATATGAATGAGTTTTTTTTAATAAGAAATTTTTAAATAATTCTTCATCAAAAACTCTTACAAAAATTTTTTATGATACTATTCTTTTTTTTTTTTCTTTTTCAACTAATAAAATATATTTTTAACATTTTTGTTTTTTGTTTTTTTTTTTTTTGTAGATTCTAAAAAATCGTTATGGTCAGAGAAAAGTTGAAGATGATATGATTGAGATGATTTTTCAACCGGCTACCTATACACATACACTGATTGACCTATCATCAACAACAGGTCCAACAAGTTCATCCTCAAAATGACCTTTTGTTATCACTCAAATTATCATTTTGAGTTATCACTCAAAAAATGATTGATATTTTTCTCCCACTGCCATATATTTATATTTATTTACTGGAAATTAACTCTCTGCCACACTGTTTTTCATATTCATAAGTGATTAGTTAGCGATGATAAAAAATTTTAAATTTATAAGAAAAAATTTATAAAATTTTTATTTTTTTTAAAATTTTAAATTTATAAGAAATTTATAAGAAGAGAATATAATTTATAAAATTTTAAATTTATAATAAGAAAAAAGCTCATAGTAGTTACTCTCGTTCTTTTTTGTTTTCAATTCGTTAAAATTGAAATTTATCGATCTGTTTTAAAATTGAAATTTATCGATATGTTTTAAAATTGAAATTTATCGACATGTTTTTGCATGTATTTTACACAAAGATTACATTAAGTTGAATATTCATAAGTCATTAGTTAGCGATGATAAAAAATTTTAAATTTATAAGAAAAAAGCTCATAGTTACTCTCGTTCTTTTTGTTTTCAATTCGTTAAATTTCAAAAATTGAAATTTATCGATATGTTTTAAAATTGAAATTTATCGTCGTTAAAATTGAAATTTATCGATATGTTTTTGCATGTATTTTACACAGCGATTACATTAAGTGAATACATCTAAGTATTTTTCCATCCTTATTAATTTTTTTTTTTTTTTTTTTTAATTTACTTATACTAGAATGCAGTAAGATTTGATGGTATAATTTTAGTTTAACTTTGAATGCATCTAATTTCATCGAATAGTCTAGATAAAGAAACTAAAATATTCTCATCTGGATTATAGTAAGATTAATCTGATTGATCCGTTTTCTGTTTTCTGATAAGATCATAAATACAGCAATTGATAAAATAATGCTTTTTTTTGATTGCTGTTTAGATAAAACAAACTTTAAACTTTAAAGATAACAGTTAAATAACTATGTAGTAATAAATTTGAACTGAAAATTGATGATAATTCTTTCTAAAACAATTGACTTTCAATGGAAAAGCATACGACAATTATTTAAATTGAATGATATATATATCTTTTATCAGTTGAAAATTAAAATGTCGTCAAAAAAAAAAATTAATTCCATATTTGTTGTCCTTTTTTTTTTTTTTTTTTAAATTCAAATTTAAGCAGGAAAAAGAGCGTCCGGATTATAGTAAGATTAATCTGATTGATCTGTTTTCTGTTTTCTGATAAGATTATAAATACAGCAATTGATAAAATAATACAAAATGATGCTACTAATCTAAATTATCATTTTATCATCAAAATAAGTATATTATACAAATAGTAGCGCTCTTCTTCATTGCATAACTTTTTCATTCCGTCATATTGTCATTTTGTAGTGAATAAAATTGTGAGTGGAAAATAAAATTGTTTACTAAACAATGTGCACTACAAGAAAAAAAAAACAAACAAACAAAAAATCAATCTTCCATATTCTCATAAGAATTTTCTCCATTGATTTATTTTTGTTGAAAAAAAAAATTTAGAAAGGAATTGAAGAAGTTGTGAATTAGGGTCATTCGTGGAAGCTATCATAAATTTTAATTAATTTGCTAAATTTAAATTTTGTTTTTGGTTTTTTTCTTTATTTTTATCTTTATTGAAAAAAGCTAAGAGTGTTTAGGAGAAATCTAAAAAAAAAAAAAATGGGTAAATTAACTCTGCAACAATAATTTGGTAGATCTACTCGATATACTTATACTTAGAGTAAATTTAACAGAGAATACTTGTCATCTCATCATGATAAATTCAGGAACTGACCTTTAACCTTGCCTTTCACCTTTCACCTTTCACCTTCCCGTCCACTCCGGTAACTACCAAATTTCCTTCTGGTTGGTTGTGGGAAAGTTTAAAAGAGATTCTCGGTCGAGATGAAAGAAATATTAGAGACTATGGTAGTTGAGGAGTCTTTGACGTTATACGTGTGAAAGAAATATTAGAGACTGTGTAATTGAGGAGTCTTTGAAAGTTGGACGTGTAGCGAAGACGAATGTATTGATAACGTTAAGTTACGCTAAACGTTACGCTAATTAGGCGTACCCTCTTGTATAACATACAATTTCTGCGCTTCTGTACATATATTTAATGCCATTTTTATTTCATGCTATTTTTACGTATCATAATAGTTACGTGTGTTAAGTTACGTATGTATGACAAATGTAAAGAAACTTGGATATTGGTATGAATAAATTACTGTTCGTCTTTTGAATATGTATCTGTTGTATATGTTATTGATGGCAGTAATACTTACTTAATGCCTACTTAATCCTATATTTATAAATAATAAAAAATAATTTAAAAAATAAGAAAAAAAAATATATATAAATAATAAAATATATATAAATATAAAAAATATAAATAATACACATAACCTTATTATTAATGGTAGTAATGCTTACTTAATTCCTATTTAATCCTATATTTATAAATAATAAAATGAGAGGAAAAATTTTCTTTAAGGCATCTGGAATGAGAAAGCTTTTGCAGGTGAAAATGAATGAAATAACAGCGGATAAACATGCAATAATGACATCAGTAACGGAAGTGTGTTCTACGTCGAAAGATGAGAAATCTGATATTTCGATGACGGACGTGTGTTCTACATCAAAGGATGAGAAATTTGATGTTTCGATGAAATGTGTACCTGTGCGAATCGAATATCTGAATTCACAATTTCTTGTATTTGATGTTAATGGTTAGTATATGTATATGTATGTATTTATACATGAAGGTTATGTGTGGGACGGAAAATTCCTGTATGGAACGTCTCATATTAGATATATGATTAGCTGAAGTTAAACGTTTTCCGAGATTTTTTATTAGTGATAAGAAAGAAAGTGAGCTGCAAAGGAAACAAATGCTAATAACTAAAATACGTGATTGAGCATTAAGACATTAAGCAGGTATGAAGTTTGATTCTTGTTTTCCAAACATTTTGAAAAATCTTATATAAATTTTGAAGTGGTGGAGCAGATAATGAAGGAATGCCGCATTATCGCTGAAGCATATGGTACTTCTCCTAATGCACGTGCTGATCTTCGAAAATATGGAGCTCCATTTATTCTGATGCCGGAACAAGTGGCTGTACTTAGTGAATATGGTTAGTATTTCCTCTCTCTCTCTCTCTAATTCTATTGAAAGTAATACTGTTTCTTTCCTTGAATAAAATCAAAAAAGAAAAAAGAAAAACCTTACTACTAATTATTAGAATGATTGTTGAAAATTACCTAACTTCATAACTGAGACATATTTGTATCCATGCTATTATGATCATTAATTATGTCATCTTTTGGGCTCGCAAAGGTGGTGCAACTTAAGAATAATACGGAAGATATTCCTACTGGAAGAAGTAATGTCGAACTTTCAAGACCTCATTCTATACAGTTGGATGATGAAGTATTAAGGAAGAAAGCTGAAATGATGGTGAAAGGTCGGAAAGCAAAGAAGCTGAAACGTCAGGCTAATAGTGAAGCTACAGCCGCAGCTCTTAAGGTATTGGATAAGTTTTTTCCTTTTTTTTCTTTAATACAATTACATAAGGTGGATTAAATATGGCACTCTTTATTTACTTAATATATTAATAAAGCTTATTTGTTTCTTTTCTTCTTATTACTATAGGATATTAATTTTCGTCATAAAAAATTTCAACACTAAAACTCATATTCAGATAAGTAAAATAATTCACTTTATCGAATTTGTATTACGTTGCTTTCTTTGTAACACAGAGTATACGTGATCGGTTTTTGTACAGAACTTTTATCTTGAAGTTGTATTTCCTGAAGTACTTGGTAGATTTTTGAGGCTAATATTCTCCAATTTTGAGATTTTGTAATTATTAAAGTCAATTTTACGCAGTTGGGAATTCTTTTTTGACATGTGCACCAAAAGTTTTGTTCGTTTCGACATTTCTGTCATTAATGAAGAATTAAAATTTTTAGCCGTTTATCTAAACATTTGGACCATTTCTTCGTTATGTTATTTAAAATTTCTCTTTCTTTTAAGTGAGGATGTTATTGTTCATGTTGATTAAGGCTCATGCTGTGTTTGCATGTGTTTCGGTTATGTTCATGCAATGAATTAAGACTGACGTAATTAGTAGAACTTTTGAAAACAAGTATGGTTGTATTCAATGTGTTTTAGGTTCGACGCTGTGATATTGTTAACGTGGAAGTTACAGATTCCGAAATAGACGATGCAGTGAAGGAACTATCGAAGCATGACAATACCCATAAGGAAGGAGATATTTGGTTTCTTCCATTGTGTAAGATTATTTTAACATTAATTTCACACTAAATCTACTACCTTTGTTTTTAGCATATCATAAATTTTTTAATTCACATTTCATTATGATGGAGTCTGTTTGAGTAACATTGACAGCTAGCTATCTTCTTCAAGTATAACTAAAGAAAGGTTGTATTTTCACATGATCCTGCATGTCGTATGGCATGTCATACTATTACTAGCATTTAAATTTTAAAGTTGTTTATTGAAAGCATTAGTTTTTCATTTGGAGTTTCCTAATTTACAGTGTTTGAATTCCTTATTTTCGAAGGTGTAAAGATGAGAAAATTAAACTGAGGTTAAGAAACTTTTGATAAAAAATTGGAAGGTCCATCTCTTTGTAATCAGAGCAAATCATTTACAGATGATACACGTGAAGAAGCATATGAAGAAATGGAAGGACCACCGCTTCCTGAAAGTTCGGTTTTCCGAATTCGGCTAAACACATTTCGTGATTTGTGGCGTAGAGGTTACTATTTAACGTGTGGTTTGAAGTTCGGATGTGATTATCTTGCTTATGAATCTGTTCCTGGTGAGGTTAGTATCTTTACTATTCTTTTTTTCTTTATTTTCTTTTTTTATTCATTGAGGCTCTCTTTTGTCTAATATTGCTTTAGGATAATTTAGGATTTTTTTAACTGCTGCCATTTTCTACTCCATAGTTATTGATAAATCAGTATTTTTCTTACTTTCAAATTTTTTCCAGGATCATTCGAAGTGGTTAGTGAAATGCGTGGATTCACAAGATACTTTATCTTTCTTAGATCTTATTGCTCTCTCAAGGCTTTCTTCTCAAGTGAAGAAACATGTTTTACTAGCTATTGTTTCACCTGATACTTTGTCACCTTACTATATTGAATATTCCTGGTGGAAACCTCAGCGATCTCAGAACATATAACAACAATTTCATTTAGTTACACTTGTATTAGGTACATCATGTTGATTATAAAGGTTAATGAAATGCAACTGTCAGATTACAATTAGCATGTCATGAAAATGAAAGGTGAAGAATGGAATTTAGAGAATTAATTTAGATGAATTTTTGTTTGCATAGTAGATTCAAACTTTCTCGTAATTTTTCTTTCCGCCCTATTACAGAAGTTGTTTGTTATTCATTTTGTTACATTTTAAATGTTTCTTGATAATTTTTTTCTCCTTTCAATATGCTATTTTCCTTTTTTTTGTGTCATAAATGTAGCATCTTGCATTCATTTGTTTGAAAATTGCAGAAGCTAAATAAATAACCATAAATGTCTGATTTCTGTTATTTCAGTTCAGTGAGATCTGATATCGGATATATATTTTTGATGATAGCTACTTTTGATGGTCCATAATGAAAGAGTTTAACTTTAGCTATTCCGTTTTACTGTTATCTTCCACTCTTTAGTAGAGCATGAAATAATCAGTAATATAGTCGAAGTAATTGATTTATCTTATTTGTAGGATTTTGAAGAGTTGAATAGTCGGAATAACCACAGAGGTAAAAATTGTCATATTTGGAGAGCCTACTCTTTCAAGTATTAATGATTATAGGAAAGTAGAGAGGAGGAAAGATTGTAATTTGTCTCAGGTTTCTTAAGTAGAAAATTTTAAGGAAAATGAATGCTCGGAATATTATCATAAACTAAACAGAGTTATCATAGTTGGTAGTGCATTTTCAGGGTATCATTTCTTGTTTGGCATGCGTTAGAATTGCTCGTTGAAATGGTATGTTTTTTTTTTTTTATTATGATGAGTAAGAAGAAGAAAAATATAAGATGTCATTTATCTGTTGAGAAAGAAAACCAATCTGTACACTTGGTTAAATACATTAACAAAAAAGGAATGAAAATTAAATCTCATTTTTGCAGCTATTTTATTCTTTTTTCAAATCATTGGTTGGAAAAGATGTGGTGGTGGAGCTGAAAAATGATCTGAGGTAAGTTATAATGATATTACACTAGTATTGCATTATTTTTATACCTTTCTAAAGTGACAAATTATTTTGGTTCTCTTTAAAGGCTAGAAAATAATTAATTATTAGAATTAGTGATAGAAATGCTTGCTTTGTATTGTTTTTAACTTATCAATTATGGAATAGGAATAAAAATAGATAGTATTTGTAGTGCTACTGCTACAACTACAATTAAAAGATATGATCATGATCTTTTTTTTTTTCATTGCAGTATTTGCGGTACATTACATTCTGTTGATCAGTACCTAAATATGAAACTGACGGATATCTCAGTGACTGATTCGGAGCGATATCCGCATATGCTTTCCGTCAAAAACTGCTTCATTCGTGGATCTGTTGTACGATATGTGCAGTTGCCTGCTGATCAAGTGGATACTCAGCTACTGCAGGATGCAAGTAGGAAAGAAGTTATGCAAGCCAAAAGAACCGCTACCGCCTAATTTTTTTTGTCTAACTTTATCAATTAATGATTACCTTGACTTTACTCACTACACATACATTTTCTCTAGCAAAAAAAAAAAAAAAAACCTTAAGTCAGAAAAAATTGATTACTTTTATTATTTTGATTAAAGTCTGAGTTCCTCCTTTTTATTGTTTTTTTTTTGAGCATTTAACTTCAACCTTCAACGTTGCATTTTATTTTATTTTTTTTTTCTTCAGTTAAGTTTTATCTTGTTTTTGTTTTACCGATATTGTTCAAAAATAAATGATCTGTTTGCATAGCGATTTTTGAAATCGTCATTTTATGAAAAGTGTTATGCGATAAACACGATATTCCTTTAATCAGAAAATTTGAAAAAAGAGAGTAAAAGCTGATAGCGTGACGAAATGATAGGGTTGAATTGACGTTGGTAGCAGTAAGATGAAATATATGCATATGCAAACAACAATTTTTTGGATATTTATGGATAAATCTACCACTGTGATTTATCTCCAAGAATTTTTTTATACAATAATAATTTTTAAATTTACGATTAACAATAATTTGTTAAGTTTTTTTTTAAATCAGATATTCATTGATAAGTTGAGTATAAAAAAAGTGCATAGTACTAAATTAAGAAAAATAAAAATAAATTGCAATACTAAATTGACAATGTTTAACAATACATAGGTTTACGTCCAGAAATGAATGTTAAACGTTTGCTTTAAATTTGAACATAACACATCCGTAAATTTCCGTAAATTTTAGTTTCAACTCATTACCCGTAACTATCATGCTTAATTACCCATAAATCTTGCTAAAAATCTGTAATATGAATGATTCATTTTAAACAGTGCAACAAATATTTGTCATTAAAATAAATTATTCTGCTAAATTAATTATGCTTTACAATATTTTTTAAAATATTGTCCATTTTTAAAATATATTATTAATTTGGAAAATGATACGCGTATCTTTTTATCAGAAATGCAAATTTTAAGTTTCTTACAAATAGGAACATTTTTCAAGATTATTAAAACTATTGCTACAATTGCAGTCATTAGAATAAATTATTCTGCTAAATTAATTATGCTTTACAATATTTTTTAAAATATTGTCCATTTTTAAAATATATTATTAATTTATTAATCTTTTATTGCAAATTTTAAGAAAATGTACGTATCTTTTATCAGAAATGCAAATTTTAAGTTTCTTACAAGTAGGAACATTTTTCAAGATTATTAAAACTATTGCAGTAGCAAATTTTGATTATATGAATGAAATTACTGATCATCTCTGTTTAATCTGAAAAAAAAAACGAAGCGAAAAGCTTAAATGAATGATAATTAGTAAATCTGATAGCAATAGAATTAAAACTGAAAAGAAGTTTAGAAATGAAAAATGGCATAGAAAAAAGATTAGGGATTTTTATGATCTTTAATATTTTTTTTAAAGTTATTTAGGAAAAAAAAATCTAAACCTATTTCTTGGGTTAATTTGGATAGTCAAACTTTATTATTTGTAGCCTATTTTCTTAATTTATTAAATTAATTTTTTTTCATTAAGATTGAATTAATTTTCTTTTTTTTCGTTTTTCAATATGTATTGAATATGTTTTATTAATATTTTATTAGTTTAATCATTCTCATTCTTCGTGAATAATAGAAAAATTTTTTTGATTTATGAGTTTTTTCTATTTTTTTTTTTTTTTTTCTTTGCAACAAAAAGTGTTTATTACGTGAACGCATGAAGCGTAAGTTAAGACAGCAAAAAAAATATAATTATATTGAAGAATGCAAAAGAATTTTCACGGAAGATTTTACGTAGCTTCTATGAAATTAAAAAAATAAAAAAATAGAAAACAATAAACACAAACGTGATAAAGTCAAGACGATAATTCATTTTTGAATTCATTGAAATTTTAATTATTAAACTAATATTACAGAGTATTAAAACTAATATCGTAGTAATAATAGAAGGCTTATCATTAGTTTATTATCATGCAATCAATATGCAATGAAAATATCATAATCATACGATATCCATAATTGTTATGAGAAAATGTTTACATGTTTACTTACACATGTAAACAAATAAATAATATGTAAATAAACAACACGTAGGTAAATAAGTCATATATGTTTGTACATATGCTAATTATACATAGTGCATGCTGCAGCATGTTTGCATATTATGCATAACAAATGCATGCTACAACATTATGCATTACAAACTAGCGATGCAATTGTTTATTGTTTATGGAACAATTCATCTTCATACAGTAGTAATTTTCGAATATTATTGTTATTTTTAAAATGCATGCACATGCAATAATCCTGAAGTGTAAGCCAGGAATATTTTTCAACTAAATTACACACAGTAATCTCGAGAATTTGTATTTTATCACTAGGAAAGACGGAATATACGGTAAATACAAAACAGGATACGGTATTTATAAAAGCGTGCCCTACAGTAATACAGATGCAAAAACAATGCGGTAGCCCTGAATACACAATAATCTCGGAATTGTATTTCATCGCTAGAATAGATGAAATAACAAAGTATGATAAATATAAAAGTATATTTTGCGATGAAATAGGTGCAAAAAAAACAGTACAGTAGTCCGGAAATATACTCATAACACCAGAATAGATAGAATACAAGCTACAGTAATACCGTAATACATTCCTCGCTCAGAATACAGTAACCCGTGAGAATATAATTCCAGAATGTTCAAGGATACTGTTGCAAATTGTAATATTGCACGTACGCTGTTCAACTAAATTTGCATACAGCATGAGATCATGCCCGAGCGTTCAGGCATAAATGTATCATTTAGTTTATCTGCTGTTATCATAGCGATTGGTTCATTGCTAATTATCATTTTCAAGGTATGATTTCAGAGGATTAAACTTACGTGTGAATATGCGTGCGTTACGTGTACCTTTCTTTTACATTTTGTTATATGTTTTACGTAAATCAAAAATTATATAAAATACGATCAAATAATTATTTGGTATAATTTATGCAAATAATTGCTTGCAATAGAAACTTACGTAATTTAGTAGTTTAACGTTAAATTCTAATATTTTTTATGTTTTATAATTCATATATGTAAAAATATTATTACACATTTCGTTTGCACAAATTTGCGTAATTTTATTCTTACACGTTTTTGCTGATTTAATCATACACAGAGATGTACGTGTTTTATTGCATAAGTTAAATTCTTTCTTTGTAATTTCTTTTATACGTTTATATCTTTTTCTTTAAAGAAAAAAAAGAAAGCTAAAATTTTCTATTAAGATAAATATTATTAGTTAAGAGTGAAGTTTAGAATTTGAAATGATCAATGATATAGCTAAAAATATTTCACTTTGCAAAATGATAATCATTCTTTACATGTATTATTTAATAAAGAAATTATAACTTAGGATAAACTTTTTGATAATCTTCTTATCATTAGTTGATATTTCTGTTAGGAAATTTATGAATTGTTAGAATTAAGCTTGATAAGAAGAGGAAAGAAGCTGTTATTGTGTGAAAAAGAGGTTAAAACAGGTTTGAAAGTTGTTCATTTGCGCATTTAAGAAGGAAAAAGAGTGTTGAGTTGATTGGTATTTCAGTTTGGGTTATTTTTGTACTTAATAAAACACTATTTTCATCATGCTAGTTTAATTATTTTAAAAAAAAAATGAAAAATTTTTGATTAATAATGATGAGTATATATGAATGTATATATGTATGGGAAATGATTTATTTCATTTGTTATTTGTATAAATTGAATGATAGAATTATAGAACGATTCATCACGACAATACCAGAACAACAAGCAACAACAACAACAACAACAACAACAACAAAAAGAGCAGCAATAGCAGTAACGATATCAAGGTGACAATAATAAGATAGGCGGTAACGCGACATACAATACAGAGGAATTATGTCATCTAGCAAAAAGTGCATTGTACCAACAATAGTTCAAGATACATCACCTTCACGAACTGTAAGTTTCAATGAATTAACTGGTGGCAAAGAAAGAGTACGTATGTCGCTAAGTGTGGAAGAGTTGGCATTGTTGAATGAAATTCAACGTCGTGGACGAATTAATTCTTCCACTGTAAGTTATTTGATTTGAATCGAAAAAAAAAAAAAAAAAGCAATTATAAAATATCATAGTGCTGCTAATAATCATAATAGTTATAAGGAAATTAAATAAACTATTGTAATTTAATTGTTTGTTGTTTTAATCAAACGTTATGAATTCAATTTGATTGATCATAATATGAGAATAACTAATGATTGCAATGTGTAAATTTAATTTGAATTTATTTCACGCACATTTATAATATTATGATTATTTATTTACTTTAGAACGTACGAACAGGAAAGATTAGTGTTTCGGAATTAATGGGATGTGGTGATAAAAACGCTGACAAAAAGAAACGAAAAAAAGATCGTAATGGTTCAGTAATGACTGCTGAGAGTAATAAAGATCACCACAATCTTTTACCATCGATAATTGGAACAACAAATCACGGAATATCAGTCGATCCAGCTACTCTCCTTGATGTTGCAGGATGGAAGATTCCTCCATTACCACCAGGACTTGTCTCAATAAGTAATTTTATCGTTAATTTATTCAACAATACGATAATATCCTTTATTATGGTTACTTATTATTTGTAGATGCATTTGCATTCATTTGCAATTTACTGCAAATTATTAGCAAAAAACATAAATTCTATAACATTTCTTTGTTTTCCTTATAGCTCATGAAGCAGATCGTCATCCATATCCATCAGCTCTTCCCACATGTATATTTGAAAAAGCGATGAAAGCAGCTGCGATTGTTCATGCTGGTTCTCAGTTGTCACCTTTATCTACCCGACATAATACTGCTGGTTAGTTGTTTTTTTTTTAATATGAAAAAGAAATAATTTGTCAGATGTGAAGGAAGCCTTTAAATTTTATTTTAAGATATATTAAGAAATAAATTCCACTAGATCAAAGTACTGG